GCTCAGAATCAATGCAAACTGAGACCAGTCCTCAGATGCTGCACTGTTAGGTACATACAAAGGCTACGGCCTTTTAATATTACTGGCAAACTCATATATACTGTGGTACACAAGCTTACAAGTGATCAATATATAAAAAAACAAAGCACCCAATACTATTGAAGAAAAGAAGCAATAAACCCTTTATGGCAAGATCCATAGACTGTATACATTTCCATTGCAGCAAGAAGAATGTGGCAGAGGGATAAAGAGGGGGAGGGACGGAGTGAGGGAGGAAGGAAGAAGTAACTATCAGAATCTCACTTCCCTCAACAAAGGAGACAGTACCTGACCAGCACATGACCTGATTTGCTTGCTTCAGTGAGAGTATTAAATATGATTTGCAAATTCTTTGTAAATTCTTATTTCAAAACAAATTCTTACTTTAAAACAAAACAAATCAACAAAAAATTTCTGAGTGTTAATATTTATTATGTGGAAGAGAAACATAAACTGTCATAATAACCTCCCAGTTTCTTCCCTGAGTTTTTCTTCCACCTGTTAGATGATATTTAGTTTTGCTCTCAAGATGCAGAAGATTTTCTCCCAAATTCATCACTTTCCTGTTTTTTGGTTGGTTTTTGTTTTTTGTTTTTGGGTTTTTTTTGTTGTTGTTGTTGTTGTTTTTTTTAAATATTGGGTATTCTGTAGTGAGTGTCTAATGTGTCTTGTCTTCTCTATCTCCTGTCAGAACAGTTCTATATGTGAAATTAAATGATCTGTTCTTATGAGATCTGCGTCTCCCTCATTCAAGTGAGTATTCTGACCAATTAACCGTTATATAAAAAGTAGGTCCTGCCATCACTAGGTAAAAATAAGCTCTACTCAATTCTTTGAAAGAAAAGTTATAGATTACTATCACCAGAAGACTATCCCAATTTCAAGGGCTCTTTTTTTATTTTAATTTCACAAATGCACACAAAAAATAATGTAGACATTGATACTTAGTTTCATCACATAATGAGAAATAATGAATCCTTCAAAATTTTTTTTAGGGTATGAGACTAGTTTCCTGCTCTGTTCTATTAACAAATTGTCATTTCTTTGTTCACCAGATCCAGAAACAAAGGATTTTAAAACATCCATAGCTATTCCTCTGGCTCTTTAAAACAGTCTTTGAACTTTTCTATTCTTCAAAATTGCTTCTTATGAGATTTAACTACAAAATGTATTGTGTGGGGGTTTTTTTGTTTGTTTTTGTTTGTTTTGTTTTGTTTTGTTTTTTTCCCATTTCACTCAAGTTTTAATCAAAGTAGCATATAATTTTACTGAATGTTAAGGTTGGTGTAAATCTTGCTAAACATAGAATTGGAACTGTCTTGATCATACCTGGGGCTTGGCATACTTGGAGCCAACAGAGCCTGCCGGACTGAGACTTTCCAAGCAAAGGAGATATCTCGTCAGGCCTGCCCCAAAGCCAGTACCCCCACCATAACACTGTTTGTGTACAGCAGAAACTAAACCTAAAGACTTTCTGAGCCTCTAGACCAGAGGGGGCTCTCTGAGGGGTTTCACTGAAGTGTCAGGACATGACAAGGGCTGGAGGTGCCCTGTAGGCTGGGATATTGGAAGCATCAGGGTGATCCCCATGGGCTCCGTGAGGTCAGGGCCTGACAGCCAGGCCCCATCCCACACCACAGGTGGGAGCAGGGCAGTCAGGGGCACCAAGACACGCTGGACATTGGGCACCTCCGTGGGTGAGGTGAGGCCAGGACATGAGCTCACAAGCAGGCCTGGCTCATCAGGGCCCATGACTGGGCAGGGCAGGACTGTGGGGAGCTGAAAACCAGCGGCACTGCAGTGTCATGAGGGGCAAGGGCAGATGGCCCCAGGGGGCTGCCATGGGGGCCTGGAACATGGGCAGCGTTGGAAGAGCCCTAGGGCATGGGCAGGGCCTGCTAGTGAGTAGTGCAGGGACTTTGTGTTCATCACTTACTTTGATAGATACTGCTTTCTGTTTCATTTTGTGTGAAACACTCATTCTTGAATTCACTGACAGACAGCATTAAAAAGAAAAAGCAAGTCTAGGTTACAGAATTTGTGCTCAGCAGCCAGCTCAGATACAGGACACATCTCTTGCCTTTTAAAAATAGTTCAATTTTTAAAATATATAAAGTTATATTAAAGGTTATATTATTAGAGGTTATTCCACATTTTCAATAGGTTTATTTCTTAAGATTCTTTATAGAATATTTACTTGTTTTATTCTACTTAATGCACTAATTTTAAGTTAACAGTTGGAAAACTCACTTTCTTACATTTGAGCCTCCTTGACATTTCCCTATCACACACCATGTGGCAATGCATCATTGAAAGTTAACATTATACTACAGCAGCAGAATTGCAGAAAGGCTCTCTAGCATATAAGTCTCCTAAAGACGTATTTTATAGCTGTGATTAATTTTTTTATTGTTATATTTTATTTTTTGTAACCATAGCTTGCTTTTCTATTTATAAATATTAAATGGAGGGGCAATCAGACACATATTTTATAGATCATATGCATATATTAATTATTGGTTATCTGTGTTGTGACTGACAGTTAGGAAGAGATTCTAAAAGTCTAGTAACTGCATAAAGAATGGTCTTGATAGTAATTGAATCATTATTCCACAGTGGTCTGACTATATGCTGTTTCAGTTTTTCTTTAGTTAATGTTAAAATATTTATTTCCTAATTTTATTTTCCTAATTAATTTTAGATTTCAGTTAGTGTCAGTAAATATTTAACTGGGAAAAATCTCTAAAAAATGGTTTTGTAAAATAAAGTTTTACTGTACATTCTTTGGGATCATTTGTTATTCATGTTTTCACTCTTGTCAAGTTGAAGACTGACCAGTGATATTGATCGATGTTGGATTCTTCTCTTATAACAGTTGTCCATCTTTTGCCATATTGTTGTCAATTCAGGCTTCCAGGCAAACATTAACATTTACTCCTACTTTCTTTCCTTTTAGCAAAGGATATTGTGGGCTTGGTTGTTTGCAACAGATCTCATCCAGCTCTTCTGTTACTGTAATTTCAATCCAAAGAATCTAATCAATATGTATAAATCATAGAATTATAGAATTGTTTGAGTAGGAAGGGACTTCTAAAGATCATCTACTCCAACCTCTCTGCCACTGTCAGGGACATCTTTCACTAGATTAGGTTGCTCAGAGCACTGTCCAACCTGACCTTGAACACTTCCAGTAATGTGGCATCCACAACTTTGGGCAACCTGTTCCAGTGTCTCATCACCTGAGGTGGCAGGGGAAAGTAAAGAAGATGTAGCCAGATTATTCTGAGTTATCCAGTGATATCCAGTGACAGGACAAGAGGCACTGAATACCAACTGAAAATCAGGAAATTTCATTTAAACATAAGAAATATTTTTAATCAGAACAGTAGTGAAACACTGGAGTAGGTTGCCCAAGGAGGTTGTGGAGTCTCCATCCTTGTCTGACTGGACAAAAACTTTAGCAACCCACTCCAGCTGACCCTGCCTTGAGCATGGGAGTTGGACTTGATAGATACCTGAGTGCCTTCCAACCTCATCAATGATTCTGTGGCTCAGAATGCCATCACTAAGGCATCATATGCTTCCTAGAGAAGACTGAAGATCAGATGTTCTGTAATTTTATGTGTCCAGGGTGTGCCACTTAAGGAAAGACAGTGGTCTGAGTTAATATGTTATTGAGCTATATAAAAAACAAAAAGGATTCCAGTCCTTGATTTAGTAAGAATTGATTTATTTACATAAACTTAAAAACCAAAGACAGGATCAAGAATACTAGTCAGTCTTAGAATATAGCCTACCTTGATGCCTAGAACACCAGCAGGATATGTAGTTTTAAATTTCTTTGAGAAGAACAGGACTGAATCTGAGAATCGTCTCTGAAATCACTGATAAATATTTTAGCAACAAACACATATACCTCAGCTGTATAATTCTTCATTCAGTTTAATTTTTTTGAAGGAAGCTGTTTCACAAATTTAGTTTTAATTTCAGGTAGAATGAAACTGAATTTTTAAAAATATTTATTTTTAGGAAATATATTTAGCTGATATTTAATCATACCAGAAAAAAATTCTTTTAAATTCAGTGTCCACCATATTAAAATATTCAACTGTGGATTTGCCAGTGGATTTTATTTTAGTGTTGAAGCTGTAGGTTGGTTTTTTAATTAAAAAATATTAAAAGGAGGGGTGTTCAGACACATGCTTAACAGTTATAGATCATATGTGTATAGTGTGTATTATTTACTGGATATCTGTACTATGGACCCAACCTGCAGATCTCTGACCAGTCCTTCCTTGTTTATAAGTCAGCAGAGCACCTGTCCTCATTGGTCCTCTATCACCTATATCAGGAAGTTGTAGTCAAGTGTTACATAAAATCCCTGAATTGCTGTCCATCCTGCAGATATTGGTATAGTTGAAGTCCCCCATGAAGACCAGTGCCTGCAAATGTGAGCCTTATTCCAGTTGTCTGCAGAGACCTCATCTAATTCTTCTTGATCAGGTCTATAGTGGACATTCATTACAACACAATCCAACACAATCCGAACCTACAAATTTCCATCTAGTTCATCATCCATTCCTAGACAGAGCTCTGTGCATTTCTGCTACACTCTCACATACTGGGTGACTCTACATCTTTGTCTTCCTGTCCTGCCTTTCCTAAAAAGCTTGCATTCATCCATGGTAGTACTCCAGGCATGTGAACTCTCCCACCATAATAGCATTGAAATTGAAAAATGGTTGAAGCCAAATGTTATGTGACTTTGTACATATGCCTGTTGAAAATATCTGTGATACTGTTATTCCACAGACTGTGCTCGGCAGGATCCCAGAGAGTGGGAAGGGTGACGGATGGAAAAAAATATCTGGGAGCATGCTGACAATTAATTCAGTTACCAATCTCTAATCATCAATCCACTTGCAAACTCATTCTGTTTCATTTTACAGATATAGTGTGGATGCCCCCTCCCTGGAAGAGTTCACAGCCATGTTGGATGGGGGCTTTGAGCGACCTGATCTGGTGGAAGTTGTCCCTGCCCATAACAGGAGAGTTGGAACTAGATGATCTTTATTAAGGTCCCTTCCAACCTAAACCATTCTATGATTCTGTGATTCTATGTATCTGCTTCTCAGGAGGATATCCTACAGTCTGTCATAGTTCTTGTTTGCAGATCTTCTCTCTTACTGATTATTCAGGCAATATATACAGAGTAAAAGAAGAAAACCAACAGTAATCAAGACAGAAAAAAGGTCTTAATCTAAAAAGGTTGACAACCTAGCTTCACACGTTTCTCCTCTCTGGGAAGATAGACAGGTTGACTGTGAGGAAGCCATGTCATACTCTTAGCAAATCCCCAAGCCTCTACTCTTCAAACAGGCCCTTGGATGATGAGAAAGTAGGACTAGAAAGCTGAAAGTTGATACACTAAGTATGCATTGATGTTTCCCAGAAAAGAGGTCCCCAGTCCAGTATGTGCACTGAATATGCAACAAATATTTAGCGATAACCAATTACATTAAGGATGAGAGAATTCTTTGCCTGTAGTTCCTACTCCTGAATGTTTACCATTCTTATCCTGAGTAGTCATCGGTCATTCCATTGATTCCACAGGAGCCATTTCCATGCACATTTTCAACAGTCAAAGATAAAGGAGTCAACATGCATCTAAGGTCACAGAATTTCTGCTATGAATTTCATTCCATAAACATTTCTTAATAGATATGCCATTATTCTTGTTGCTGAAGTTATTTTATATCAGAATCTAAAGGAGTATTAATACCTCGTAGTAAGGGATAATGAATAATTCCTGGTAGTCTTAATTTATTATTTTTCTAAAATAACTGTTCTAAAGACTATCTATTTAATTTTATCTCTAGATCAAAAAATTGTTTAGTTTTTCAGGTAATACCATGTAGGTGTAAAATATATGTTATATAGTAAAGAAGTAAAATGGTTGTTTATGATAAATTTGGAAGGAAAAATTAAAAGTGTAAAAATCCTGTTGCAGTTAATAAAAATATTCCTCTTTCATATCTTTTATTTAAATCACTAGATGAAAATAGCTGTGTTCCAAAATCTATACCAACAGATGGCAAGCCTTTGTTATACCAGACATGTATGTACCTTGCACCTGTCGCATATTTAGTTATAAAAGGTGTAAGTATTGATAGTGTACATATAAATGACTATTTAATCCTCAGGTCAGTTATCAGCATGTTAGCCATATGTCATGTAGGAGAACAAATGTTTTACTATAATAGGAAAAGAACATTCCAGTTGCCATATGATTTTCCTTTAATTACAAGATTCAAATGTGCAGCATGGACAAGACTCTCTGATATTTGTTGAATCTCTGTGTTTCACCACACGATACTTGTTTATCAGCCTCCAAACAATGGAATACTGTAAAGAGAGGAATTAAGCTTTTTTTTTTTTTTTTTAAAAAAAAAAAAAAAAAAAAAAAATCTTTGTTATGACAGGGAGTTCTACAACTGATGGGCAGTGACCCATAAGGAATACTGCTGAAAATGAAATACAGCATTTCATATTGTATGTTATTCACTGTTGACCATATGTGGTCTGCATCTTTACCCACAAAACAATAACATCAAAAAAACACCAAAACAATTGTATGAACTTGGTGTACTTATGTTTTCTTATATCTTAGCACTACAAGCAAATCATAAGATGTGATGTACAACTTCACCTTTTGTTAGTTTTAAAAGACAGTCTATGATAGTGATGTGAAAAATAATATACTGCATATTGGAGGAAAGAGTACCAGAATCATACAGTCAGCAGATCTTTATTTTTCCAATGGATTCACTTCAGAGCTGGGCTAAGTTAGAACCAATAAAATATGTGTATGATTTATTTCTGTCTTTTTCTTCTGACTCAAAATACTACCCACCAAATTTAAAGACTTTGTTCTTTTTAAGATCTGTGATTTCAGGCATAGTCATTAAAATATCTCACAGCACTTCCCACAAAAGTAATCATCATGATATGTTAAGTGCTGACACTGGACTCATATTTACACAAGACACAAATAAAAACAAGAGCAATTTCCAGCTTGAGTATCTGTGTTCTAATTCCCTATGTTTTCACAGAATCATCTAGGCTGGAAAAGACCTTGAAGATCATCCAGTCCAACTATTAACCTAACACTGAGAGTTCCAAACTACACCAGATCCCTAAGCACTATGTCAAATCGACTCTTAAACACCTCCAGGGATGAGAACTCCACCACCTCCTTGGGCAGCCCATTCCAATGCCTAACAACCCCTTCAGGAAAGAAATGCTTCCTAATATCCAGTCTAAACCTTCCCTGATGCAATTTGAGACCATTACCTCTTGTTCTGTCACTTGCTACTTGGTTAAAGAGGTTCTTCATCATCTCTCTGCAACCTCCTTTCAGGGAGCTGTAGAGGGCGATGAGGTCTCCCCTCAGCCTCCTCTTCTCCAGACTAAACATCCCCAGTTCCCACAGCCGCTCCCCGTACGACCTGTGCTCCAGACCCTGCACCAGCTCCGTTGCCCTTCTCTGGACACGCTCGAGTCATTCAATGTCCTTTTTGTAGTGAGGGGCCCAAAACTGAACACAGGAATCGAGGGGCGGCCTCACCAGTGCCGAGGACAGGGGTCAGATCCCTTCCCTGTCCCTGCTGGCCACGCTATTGCTGACACAAGCCAGGATGCCATTGGCCTTCTTGGCCCCCTGGGCACACTGCTGGCTCCTGTTCAGCTGGCTGTCAGTCAGCACCCCCAGGTCCCTCTCTGACTGGCAGCTCTCCAGCCACTCCTCCCCAAGCCTGTAGCGCTGCTGGGGGTTGTTGTGGCCCAAGGGCAGCCCCCGGCATTTGGCCTTATGGAAACTCCTGCAGTTGGCCTCAGCCCATGGCTCCAGCCTGTCCAGGTCTCTCTGCAGAGCCTCCCTACCCTCGAGCACATCAACACTCCCACCCAACTTGGGGTCATCTGCAAACTGACTGAGGGTGCACTCAATCCCCTCGTCTAGATCATCAATAAAGATGTTAAACAGGAGTGGCCCCAAAACCCAGCCCTGGGGGACACCACTTGTGACCGGCCGCCAACTGGATTTAACTCTGTTCACCACAACTCTCTGGGCCCGGCCATTCAGACAGTTTTTTACCTAGCAAAGCTCATTCAAGCCATGAGCAGCCAGTTTCACCAGGAGATTGCTGTGGGAAATGGCTATAAGTATTCACTATATTAAATGCAGTCCTAAAATATAAGGAAGGTATTTTGGGAGAAATAGAAAAAATGTATTTTAGTATTATATAGAGATGGTCTTTTGTATGCAAATTATTTGACACACTGCTATGTATTTGTGTGAAAATCATCACCCAATTTTTTTCCTTTTACTATATTTATGACCCCTACTTTACATTATTTCTCTGATTTTTTTTTTTATTAGTTCATAGCTTTATTCATTTTTTATTCATCTTGTAAATTAAATTCATTCAATTTTGCTGTTCTTGAAACCATGCTGCAATTTTCATTTATTTTATGCTGTTTCTAACACTTAAAGCCTTGAGATTTTTAACTCAGCATGCAGAACTGACTCCTCTTCCTTTAGAAGGGGACAACCATTTCTAAAAGGAGTAAAAACTTCTTCGTATTTATTATAAGATATACAGTCCATAGCTGTGCTCCATTTAAGGGAAGCCTTGTAGCCACATTTTGACTTGGAAGACTCTAATGTCCATCTTATTGGTGGAGAAACAGTGCAATGGTAGCAGCTGAGAAATATGTAAGAAAAATGCAGTAGCAAATGAGTGTCAGAAATAACATAAAATTCAGCAATATTGAATTATTTTTTTTTTTAATTCAGTATTTTTTTCTTTCTTATATGGAATCAGTTTAAGGTTTGAATCTAACTGGAATCAGTACTCTGAACACTGTGTTAAAACGGCCTATGCCTCACAAGATTCAGTCTCAAAGCCCACCCTTTTCTTGATTCCATACTGCACTTCTGACTGCTCTTCCTAGTAATCTTTTTATGTTACCTTAACTGGTCAATAGATTAAAAAGACCCCAAACCAACAACAAAAACCACCTATGAATCCTGAAATATTATTTACATCAGTGTGAGTTCCCTGATAATTAATGATTCAGTAATGATCTTTTTTATGTTTAGCACATTTATCCATGTATACAGAAACAGAGGCACATCTGCACAAAAAGGAGTAGACATCACCTCCGACTTAACCAGTTCTATAATCAGATATTTACATTGTTATTTTAAATAAATCATTATTGAAATATAACACCTGATGTCAAGATTAAAAAAAAAAAAAACAAAACAAACAACCAAAAAACTGAAATTTTTTTGAATCCTAAGTACAGGGTTTTGAATCCTAAATATAGCTGTTTGCTAAACCACTTAGATTGGATCATTCTTGCTAAAACCAGCAACATTCAGGAATTCCATCTGGAATTCCAGGCATTGGAGTCAGGTAAGTTTGTCATCTTACCCTAAGAAAGATATCTGCCTTTCACTAGCCAAATAGCTTTCCAGATTCTTCAGGGTTCAGTTTAATTGCCCATACATAGGTACCAACTGCAGCCCCTAGTTTCTGAGACACCTTTATAGGTCTTACATATTTAAGAAGGGACCTCAGAAGATGCTTGTGCTTTTAAAGTAGCAACTGAATGACAGGAGAAATATCCTGGGGCATATCAGATGATATTAGATACTTATGTGTGGGCTACTAAATTATATCCTAGATTTCCACTGACTATAATGGGAGCTTAGATACCAAACTCTTATGGCAGTGCTTACATTTAGTGATCTAGGTATAACCTCCAATACGGTTAAAACATCTACAGTCTGGGCCATATGGGCTTGATCCCATTGTAAGACATAGGTGTCAGTGTTATTTGAGATACTATGTGATGTCCTACCTGTTTATCAAGCTGCTGCACCAGTGCAGTGAGAGTTTCTTATCAATGCTGTCATGGCTTTCTGGCTCTATGCAATAGTTTCTAGGGCATCAAATAGTACTAGGCATCTGTGCTTAGGAATCACATCAATGCTGAGTTCAGTTTTCTCCAGTGTTGGCTGATAATGGGGATTTTTCAGTCTAGTTCTGAGATGCCTCAGTTCCACCTAAGTCCTAAATCTATATACTTAGCTGGATCCAGTCTTTAATCATTTGTTGACACAGGACATTACTGTCATTTTAACAGATTAACAAAATCAGTTACTTTCCAGTTCTTATTAGGCATGCCTGGAATAGTTTCAAGGCTTTTTTACCTTCTAAGATTGTCCTATTAAGAGATAAAAATCCTTGCATGGATTAACATGTATAACTTCTGCTTATGCATATTTACTCATTTTCATATTATCAATTACTTCTTGAACTTAGAAATATGATTTCTCAATGAAAAAACTAGCCTGATTTTTTTCAGATCACTTTTATCTTCAGTTTTTATTAAATTCAAATGTTGTGGGTTTTTTAATCAGTACTTTCAGTTATATTTGTTCAACTTACTTATTGTCACAGTAATGCCCTGTCACATAAATTACAGAAAAAAAAAAAAGTATAAAAATTTACTTTTCTTGCTGAAGAAAACAAGGAACAACTTCCTTGTGATGATATGGTTCAAAAAGGTAGCAGACTCCTCACTGTGGTACTGCTCTACAGTTTTTCATTTTTGATTCCTTACATGTCTTTCCCTTATCTTTCAGGGGTTTATTTTGGATGTCACTTATAATACTTTACCTGATAGCAAAGCAACACCGTACATATATCTTGGGTGATTTATAGATAGCTAATTAAAAATATTGCAGTGTTGGATGACTTGTAGGTAGCTAATTAAATATATTCCAGATAAAAATATGCTTCATTTATCAGTTCTTTTCATATATGTGTCAGGATTTAACCCCTGCCAGCAACTAAGCCACTCGCTCATTCCCCTCTGGTGGGATGGGTAGGGGAATTGGAAGAGTAAAAATAAGTAAACTCATGGGTTGAGATAAAGACAGTTTAATAGGTAAAGCAAAAGCTGTGCACACAAGCAAAACAAAGTAAGGAATTATTCACCACTTCCCATTGGCAGGGTGGTGTTCAGTCATCTCCAGGAAAGCAGGGCTCCATCATGCATAATGGTTACTTGGGAAGACAAATGCCATCACTCTGAACATTCCCCCCTTCCTTCTTCTTCCCCCAGCTTTACATGCTGAGCATGATGTATATGGTGTGGGATATCCCTTTGGTCAGTTGGGGTCATCTGTCCCAACTGTGTCCCCTCTCAATTCTTGTGCACCCCCAGCCTACCTGCTGGTGGGGTGGGGTGAGAAGCCAAAGGGGCCTTGACTCTGTGTAAGCACTATTCAGCACTATCAAAAACATCCTTGAATTATCAACACCATTTCCAGCAGAAATCCAAAACATAGCCCCATACTAGTTACTAGTAGGTGAAAATTAACAGTTACTAGTAGGTGAAAATTAACTCTACCCCAGCTAAAACTAGAACACTATCAGTTTCAGAAGCATGGGCCTGAGCCATTTGATACCTGTTAATAAATTCTGTAAAACACTCAACATACCACCTGTGGTATGTTTATTGGACCTTTATCATATATATAGTAGTTTACAAAACTGATTTACACTGCTGATACTTTTTAAGACCAATAGGTCTTGCCTTTTTTTTAGTGTAGATGCAATGATTAGTACTAGAGTGGAGTCCACAGATTGAAGTGTGGTACCTTATTTAGCATAGCCCCATAGAAATGCTAGCAGAAGTTAAAATAGGTCTGATAGTTAAGACAGGTGGAAATAATCATAGTCATTAGTAATTAGCAACTATATAACTAGATAAATTGTCATCACTGTCTTGAACCTGTGTAAGGAACTTTTTGGACTTTTAGTATGTCTCAACATCGCTGTCTCCACGACGACCACTTCCTGACTCAGCATGAAGGAGCACAGCTTGAAGAAGACACATAGTCCCCGAGGAAAACCACATCTGCCCTAGACGAGAACACCAGCAGTCTCAGCAGTCCCCCATCGAGCTGCGCCTACGCGTGAGCTGGGTGGAGGGGAAACCACGGCGAGACAGATCGGCCCCTCACCAGCACGACCACCATGGACTCCCGGGCATGCGCGCATGGAGGGCCACAGGGTGGCACCTACAACAATGAGCCCCGTGGAAATGGGCGGACAAACTGTGGGGACGGGGACTATAAAAAAGACAGACTGCGTACTCCTTTAAAGAGGGGAACCAACTCGAAGAGAGGAACCAACTCGAAGGGGGGAACCAACTCTGAGCATCATCGGACCGACAGAACATCCCCGGATCCCCGGTCGTGGTGGTGGTAATTAGTTGCGTCTCTACCGTGTTCTTGCTTAGGGATTTCGACCTTTTCCTTTCTTTTCCTCTCTGTCCTATCGCTCTTATTAGTTGTTATAGAAAATAACGTTTATAAGGTTATGCAGCATCTGACCTCGTTTGTGTCTTAATCTCGCTCTCGGGATTGTTTAAGAACCCTCCCCGATATCAGGACAACCTGATATAACACACAATGTCAATTTAATTCAAAACTTGAAATTATTTTATATGCATTGTTTGTTCACTTTCTTTTAGTTACCATTCATACGTGTATCTTCAGGTATTGAGTATTTATATCATAAAACAATTCAGAAATGCAGACCATTTGAAAGGTAGTCCTTACTTTTTTTTTTTTTTAATTAAAATTATATATATATATGTTGTACCAAAATATTGTAACAGTACTGGACATTATTTTCTCTTGCAATTTTAGATGCCAAGATTTTTTCTTTTCAGAGTATTAATAATATTCTTACTGCTGGTTAAAAGCCACTTTAACAGATTTGTTTCTTATTAGCTTTTCAAAAGATTCAATGGATTTGTTTCCATCATTGTAAAAATAATTCCTATACATAAGGAAAAATAATATGTTTGTCTCCGCATCTTCTCTGGATCTCTAATTTAGTGGCCTCTGATGAATCTTTACAACACCTACATTGAATGTCTTCAGATATATACATTTTGAGATAGGTTTCTTTGGCCTAATCCAGATTGCCAGCTGCATGGTTTCTTCCTCTCTCAAGAAACTTATTTTCTTGGACAATTTTCCATGAATATATACAGTTTCTAACCCCAGAGATATCTAAGATCCAAGCTGATAAAGCCCTAGCAACCTGATCTGACCTCACAGCTGACTCTGCTTCAAGCAGAGGTTGGACTAGATACTTCCTGAGATCATTTCTGACCTGAATTACCCAGTGTTCCATTGAGTAAGTGAGAGCTCTTGGATCACACAAGCAAATGACCAAGGAGTACCCACGCTACAAAGCTAAGATGCTGCTCTCAGGTGAATTTATAAGATTATGTAGCAGTGGGCTGGAAGTCCTCTCTTCTGGAGCCTGATTTAGACATGATCTGTAGCACACACTCACCTATAAATTACATGCATTTAAGAATTTAAGAATTTTTATATCTATATGAAATTGTTGTCTAGTTCTTTTATTACTAACTTTTCTTTATAGTATAATAAAGAGACTATAGCCACCTTTACTGATCTCTTGATTTATACTTTTTGTACTTCACTTTAAGTGATCACTGGAAGTGAACTTGTCACCTATGTATTATTTTCGTTATCATATGAGGTATTGTGTCTCACCAATTTTCTTAAATTTTGTTATTAATTTTTTGCAAAATAGATTTATATTCTTTACATATTTATTAATCAGAACCACAATACTTTCAGGAACTAAACATGACCAAGCATGTTTTGGGGTCTTCTCTGTTTTGTCTTCCCTGTGGCAACACTGTCCATTATTCTTTCATAATTCCATAGATGGAAATTTAACATCCCCAAGTGTTTCCCTGATTATGAATGTAACCATAGTAGATTATTAGTACCCTTGAATTCATGTTCATTCAGCTCAACATTTCTTGCATATATCTGTTAAAGTCAAGTTCTGCTACAAATTTGATCCTGAATATGTTATAGATAAGGCTGAAGATCCTTTTCATGTTTGTTATTTTGCTACTTCTCTTGAAACTTTTCAGTTAGCCCAGTACAATAATTTATATTGTGAAACTGCAGATATAAAGAAAAAGGAGATCATCGGCTTGCTCACTGAGAGCAAGGACCTTGTCTCTGTCTTTGAAGCAACCAGCTCCTATTCAGTTGTAAACTGTTATGATTGCAAAGATAACTGGGAGGGTCCACTGAGCCTGGGTAGAAAGAGAAGCCAGGAAAAGAAATGTGATGATAAAAGCTTCCTTCTTCTTCCCATGCTGCTATGGGGAGGGACAACACAACTCCAAACTTTTCTTTACACTGGCATATCACAAAGTGATGTGATAATATTTAATAAAGCTGAAAAATACATATTAAGGCTGAAAGCATAGTTCTCACTGGAGAAGAAGGAATTATATTTTTGTACTCAATTAATTTGAGATTAGTCAGTATGGATGGTAAAATCGGTGCCATTCGATTGCTTTTTAAATTTTGTTTGGCCATTTAGGTAAACATCTTGGTCTAAATTACTTCATGGATTTTATTTAGTCTTTGCCCTTTTCTCATTCTCAGCTTGTTCTTACTGACTAAATTTCATACGCTTGCTACAAAACCAAGAAAGAACAAACTCCAAGCGTATTCATAGGTGTCCCATAGAAATAATAATAGTTAAAAAAACAAACAAACAAAAAAAGTAGCTTTATCTGTCACATCAGAAGCTTTAAAAAAGCCTAGACATTCTATAATTCCCATGCACTCTTAATCTACTTTGTGCATATTACACACTCAGACTTTTCTAAATTTATTGTAATTAGACCTATGTATTACAAAGGGACTTCTCATATTGCTTCTACCTAATCTCTAATTTATATGCAGAAGAGCAAAGCTAAAGAGTTTAGGATTTTCACATGTAATGCTCTTTCTACCTAATCAAGTTATACAGCTTAGTAGCTTCCTTCCCTGTGGTTCCCACTTTTTTTTTTTTTTTTTTTTTTTTTTTTTTTTTTTAATAAATCAACATAGTCCTAGGCAGGCATTAATGCTACTTCTGTAACCTTTCTCTATTCACTGATTGTTCTCTGGGGACACAATAATTCATCGCTTAGAAATAAATGGTTCATGAGTAACCCTTTATAAATAATCAGTTTATAGTTGAAGTACTATTGAAGCCACATTAAGTTTAAATGAAGTTTCATTCTCTGTGTGCTTTTCTCCATTCTTTTCCCAAACCACAGTTAAAAGTTTACCTCCAAAAGCAGGGGGAGATGTGTCTAATTAAAACCAGATTAACTTCATGAATTCCTTCACAGAATCAAGGCTTTACCACCAGAAGTGGTTCTGATTGTCCAAGGGGCTAATTTAAACTTTGCTTTTCTCAACACATCCTGATGAATCATATGAATCACCCTTCAGCAACTAACATGAACACTTAATAAAAAGCAGAATTTTCTGCTGGCTTTTTGGTTATAATAATTACTGACATACGTTCTCAAAACTCCTGCTTATCTCCTTCCTTTCCCTTAGAATATTATACTCAGCAACATACAGTACAATGTATGTATAGACACCTGACAGCCTGAAAACACATATATGAGCCCAAGACATCATAAGTTAATTAACCTGAATTATTAAAAAAAAAAAATAAAATATTGTGATTTGGCTTTGATTATTTGGTGCTCCCTGATCAGACTGAAATTTTTTTTTTTTCTTTCTTATTTTAGGACTGCATTTAATATAGTGAATACTTATAGCCATTTCCCACAGCACACTCACAGCACTCTCCTGGTGAAACTGGCTGCTCATGGTTTGAATGAGCTTTGCTGGGTAAAAAACTGTCTGGATGGCCGGGCCCAGAGAGTTGTGGTGAACGGAGTTAAATCCAGTTGGCGATCGGTCACAAGTGGTGTCCCCCAGGGCTGGGTTTTGGGGCCACTCCTGTTTAACATCTTTATTGATGATCTAGACGAGGGGATCGAGTGCACCCTCAGTCAGTTTGCAGGTGACCCCAAGGTGGGTGGGAGTGTTGATGTGCTCGAGGGTAGGGAGGCTCTGCAGAGAGACCTGGACAGGCTGGAGCCATGGGCTGAGGCCAACTGGAGGGGTTTCCATAAGGCCAAATGCCGGGGGCTGCCCTTGGGCCACAACAACCCCCAGCAGCGCTACAGGCTTGGGGAGGAGTGGCTGGAGAGCTGCCAGTCAGAGAGGGACCTGGGGGGGTGATTGACAGCCGGCTGAACAGGAGCCAGCCATGTGCCCAGGGCGCCAAGAAGGCCAATGGCATCCTGGCTTGTGTCAGCAATAGCGTGGCCAGCAGGGACAGGGAA